AGACATTTGAGGTTTGCCAGAAAGGAAAGCTGGCCTGTACACTTTGCAGGGCACAATGTCATCAATGCAGAAACCCCTGTCTACCAAGATGACCATCTCTAGTTGTAGCATTTTCATCACACCAGATTCCCAGGTTGGTCGCTGATAGTTCCAGCATACAGTGCTGAGACAAAGGTCACTGGCCTATGTGGCACAATCCAAATGAGCCTCTTCAGAGTGCAGTTGAACTTGAGGAAAATATATGACTCTGGAAGAGAGGGGAATATGGCCATTGAAACCTCAGATCAGTGCAGTCAAGAATTACTGGTGTTTGGGTAGTCCTGAACGTGTTGTGATGCCCCCACCGTCTCATTGGGTTTTCATTTGTGTTTAATTGTGTTTTTCTTCTGTTGTAGGCAGCTGGTTAAGCAGCCTTGGAGGCACCTGGGCTCAGGGTGTGGTGCTGCCTACAAAGCCTACTGTTTTTCTGCTTTCACTGGGTCTCTCCTGTGTGGTGGAGAGTCCTCACTGGCCATTTTCTGTTCACTAACTTGCTTTAGTAAATCCTTACTTTTGTTAAATAAATCAGTTGTTGAACCCCCACTCCTCTGTTTGGTCTCCTTTCTTATTACAGCCCACCACTTCCAGTCTGGGTTGTAACAATCTGCAGACAGATTTCTGAGTATCTCCTCCTTTGGTACACAGATCCTCACTGAGCCATGTACTGTGAACAAATAGTTTCTCCATGATATTATCCAGCAAGGTCCCGTTTTTGTCAAAACAAGGGTGAGGTAATGAAAAAATAGAAATATTTCATTAAATTAACATTTAAATTATTTATATGCATCATTAAAAAAAACATGTTTTGAAATATATAAAGTGCACCAAACTTGACTCAGTCCATTCAACAATTCTAAATGGACAATTATGTAACTCATCAATTAATTATTTGAAAGGATAATTTGTCAATTAAATACTGAAAAAAATAAACAATTCATTAATGAGGCAAGAACTTTTCTCTCTCTGTCTCTCTCTCTCTCTCTCTCTCTCTCTCTGGAAGCCCCACTCTAAGGGAGTTTGCAGTGTATTAGTGAGTCATATATTGTACAACCACAGTCATAAAGTTTTCAATCAGTAGTTTTATTTCAGTATGTATTTTTCCAGTATCACAAAAAATGTAATTTTATATGGTTAAAACCATCTAGCTTATGTGCACTTTTTAAAACACTGCCCAGCAAACATTCGGACGTTTAATGACAGTTGAACGGTCACAACTGTAAAATACCTGAAATTAAGAAAAATTAACATGACATCTACTGCATTTTCCTTGCCCGGCCTCGAACCCGGATCCTCCGGGGCGAGAGTCACCCGCTCTCCCAACTGAGCTATGCCAGCAACTGCTTGAATAGCAGACTTTTTTGTATAGATAGGTAGAGGGTAAAGTGCGGGGTACACTAACCAATCAGAGGACAGAGAAGATCTGCCACAGGCCACGCCTCCAGAGTGCCAAAACCCTTACAGCCGAGCGAGCAGGAGTCAGAAACCGAGCGCGCAGAGAGGCTGCCGAGCGCGCACAGAGGCTGCCGCGCGCGCACGTTTTCCTCTGCCGTGTGCTCGTTGACAACGCGCGCACGCAGGTTTGTCACTTGTGCACATCCTTGTGCGCTCACAGACACAGTTTGCTCCCTCTCAGTGCACAAATGACCTCTCGCCATGTATATTTCCGCTCGCGAGTCCCGTTCACACGCGCGCTGTGGACCCAATGCGCGTGCACGGGTTGTGGCACGCTTTAAACGCCATACTCGCCGCTCCTCAGTTCAGATCAGACGCGCCCCAGTCGAGGCGCGCCTCGGCTCCGCTGTAGTTTTTCTTTTAATTACTTGGTGTCCTCCATTTCCTCAGCTCTTTTCCTCTGTGTGTGTGTGTGTGTGTGTGTGTGTGTGTGTGTGTGTGTGTGTGTGTGTGTGTGTGAGAGTGTGTGGTGTGAACCAGTTGTTTCTGCCAGTTGAATCTCTTGGACTTCCCTACATGTGTAGCTCGGGGGTGACGATGGATGAAGATATCGCGTTAGCATTCACACTTGTTCAATTTTCAATTTTAATTCTGGTGCCTGTTAGCAGCAGAAACGCATCCTCACGCGCTTGTGGATATCATATATTCTATATGAAAACATGACTGTAATAATAAGTAAAGGTTATCAGCTGTTCAGTGTGCTCATAGGAAACGTGACAAAAGAACACAAAACACATTTCTCCTTATGGCCTATATTGTTGTTATCATCAACGTAACATGATTTACAGAATACATGTGACCAACTAACATTTCATGTTCTACCACCGGATGTTTGGATCAAAATGTGAACCAATCAGATCTTAGATCAGGTGAGAGCCAGGCGTTTCCCATCATCCTCTAGGTTTTGCAGCCGGTAGAGAGCAACTGCAGCGCCTTGCTCCAAAATCTGCGGCCGCCTTGATCTCACGAGGTTATCGATGCCTACGTATGCATGACGTCAGAGCAAGTCAGGTCAATTCGGACACAAATCTAACCGGCATGCACCGCTTGCCGATCACTGCTGGTCTACTCTGCGCAGAACTGGCTCATCTCGAACACAGTCAATGGCTTGAATACAGCAAAGCGGAGTTGGTGATGTACTGCGTTGTATGCCAGAAGTATGCGACGACAAAATCGTGTTTTGTTGAGGGAACAAACAAATTCAAACTTGAATACGTTATTATGTTTGTGAATGTGTACAAAATAAAGGTTTGTTACATTTAAAACGGTTCAGTTGTTATTTTGACTCGTTTTGGCGGCTGACCAGTGGGGCCGGTAGATTCTTGGCAGGGCCGGTAAATATTCAGAGTTACCGGCCCGGCTGGCCGGTTGGTTTTGAAGTTAATGTCCACCCCTGTTTGTCATCTATAGTTACCTCAAGGGACTCGTTTCCATACACTCTTTCAATCTCTAAACCCTCTGTCAAGATTTTTATGTAAATGCTTCCATTACTATTTCCAAAAGCCATGAATTTGATTTACTTTAAATTTAATGTTAATTTATTTTCATCAAACCAACTTTTAATTTAAAATACTTCTGAATTTATTACTTTTTACAGCTCCTGCAAATCTTTGCCCAACATAAAAGAGTAGTATCATCAGTTAACACTAAACAGCACTACTTAAAGGATCTTTGACACTTTCCGTCCCGCAGCGCTCCTCTGTGAGAGCGGGGGTGGGTGGTTCCACACGTTCCGCTGCTGTTTCTCACCAGCATCAGCTGATGGAGGGCTCTACTGTGGATAGTGATGGTAGCGCACTGCTTTCCTCCCTGAGGCGCTGGATGGTGGACCAGAATCTCCTTGAAGCCGTACGGAAGTCTTGCTCCATAGTCTCACTGAACTCCTCCCATGCCCGGGTGTTTGCCTTGGTGACCATCCGAGCCGTGTTCCGCTTGGACTACCGGTACCCGTCAGCTGTCTCTGGAGTCCCACAGGCCAAAAAGACCTGATAGGACTCTTTCTTCAGCTTGACAGCATCCCTAACCGCCGGTGTCCACCAGCGGGTTCGGGGGTTGCCACCACGACAGGCACCGACGATCCTGCGACCACAGCTCCGGTCGGCCGCCTCAACAATGGAGGCACGGAACAGGGTCCATTCAGACTCGTTGTCCCCCGCCTCCCCCGGAACATTTTGGATGTTCTGTCGGAGGTGGGAATTGAAGCTCCTTCTGACAAGAGACTCTGCCAGACGTTCTGAGCAGACCCTCGCGATACGTTTGGGCCTGCCTGGTCTGACCAGCATCCTCCCCCACCATCTGAGCCAACTCACCACCAGGTAGTGGTCAGTTGACAGCCTGTTTAACCATGAAATTTAAATGTAATAGGGTAAAACCCAGTGCATTTAACATAACGCTTCATTTTTGAAAATGGGTTGAAATATGACATGTTGGTGGAGCTGGGTTCCGACTATCGGTATGGACTCCCTCCCTTCAGCGGCAGCTTAGCACATCTCTGATCACAGCGGCGCCTGCCTGCTGCACGGCTGCCGGCTTGTGGAGCCCCCGGGAGACCTCTGTGTTCCACCCGGTTTTACCCAGCGGTCAGCCCGGTGTATCTCTGACTCTGAAGCTCCGGTGTTGTTCAAAGTTAACTCCGGTTGTAGCTAGGTAGCTACCTCCGTTAGCTTAGCTCCCACCTCCGCGTTAGCTTTGGGTTAGCTTTTAGCTACATCGCTTCAGTTCGACAGGTGTCGTCATTTGATCCCGGCCTTACAGCCCCACCCTCAGCTCCACCTCTCTTCCCTTTTGTGGAATTGTCTGGGCTTGACGGAACCTGTGACACAGTCAAAATGGCGTGGTGGCCACCTCCCATTTTGGCTTAAAAACGCATTACTGGAGCTTATGGAAACGCAATGTCCAGTATATATGTCGATGGTTTGAAGGCAGTGAATCGAGCAGCTGTGTCTTTCCCAGCTTGTTGAATGCCCAGAATGCACACTGTGCACTGTGTTAGCCTGCTAGCTAACAGCTGCATCCTGGTGTCTGAATCTCTTCCTGCCTTAAATTATGTGATGTCACTGTGTTTTTTTCCTCTACGAAACACAAATATTGATGAGGAGGAACTTGTTGAAATCAAAACTAAGCCATTGTTATTCCATCTGTCAGGATGAATTTAAAATGTCATGTTTGTAATTAAATCTGATATTTATCTCCAGATCCCGGTCCTTTTAATATCACGTGATGGGATCAGAGCTTCCCTAGTAAAAATATCCCCAACAACACAGCCAAAGCAAAAACCTCTTTGAAACTTACATACCTCTCATCTATTTCAGTGGGACAACTTGAACATTGGGTGGCTACCAGATACTGTTTTGCTCATGCTATCTGTTGCTGGGTCGTGGTTGCTGTGAGAAAAACTTAAATATTACATCTGTAACATAGGACAAGTGTTCCCACGGAAACCTGAACGATGACAGAGCAGCTGACAATCATCAGAGACAACTGATCCAATTCTGGACTTCAGCACTGACCTGTAGGATGACGTATCCCAGCAGCTTCAGGTGCCGGTCCCTCATGGCCCGAGACCCAACCAGAACCTCAGAGTTGTGACAATAGTGCCACTTGTCATTGACAGACACGATGACTCTGCAGACACAACACAGGGTTTACATGCTGTGGCCTGGTTCTGTTAGAACCTCAGAACAGGTTCTATTTAAAGTGGACTTACCTCCGGATGTTCCTTTGCTCTGGAGGCAGATCTTCTGAAACCTCCTGGTTGTGGGTTTTGAGCTGTGGGGACACTGGGGGGCCTCTACTGGTCGTGGATCCTTCATAAAATCCTGACAACTCACAGTCCTTTCCCTGAGCCCCCGAGATCCCTGCCGCCCCTTCGTCTTCCAGGATCTTTCGAATGGAAAACTGGAACAAGGAGTCAGGGGCGGGGGCCCCAGAGTCTCCTGGAGCCCCAGGTGGAGCCAGGCCATCAGAAGGAGGGCTGCTAAGTGTGGAGCTGTCCTGGCTCTCCAAGGAGTGCTCCTTGGCCAGACCGGAGTAGTACTCCTCAGCAGGGACATAGTAGGGGCCATAGTCCAGGGTAGAGTCGTTAGGCCCGACCCGAGGGGGCCCTGTAGCTGTGGTGGCCCCAACAGTGTTGCAGATATGATGAGGCTGAAAGGTCCTGGCCTCTAGCGCGGCATCCATTCCTTCAACAGCCTGGCATGGCTGATCGACGCCGTCCTCAAGGGCCACAAATGGAGAGAACTTCTGCAGCTCTGAACTCACAGCTGCACATGCATCTTCAGCTGGTTTGGTCGTCGTGGCAACGCAGGATGCAGACACCAGGTCCAGAGGCAAACCTGAACCAGACCTAATGGGCAGAACTCGACCAGAAGTGTCCAACCAGAGAACAAAGTCTGCAGAGACGACAGGGACATGGTTCTGACTGATGCGGACTGTGGTTCTGATTGGTTCTGTGAGCAGATTATAAGTACCTGTGTAGTACCCTGGGGCCAGAACCTCATCCTGTTTGTAATTCTGCTCTCCGACCAACTGCCTCAGAGCCTCGGCCACCAACCCTTTATAACTGACGCCACAGGTAAACAGCATCACCTGACAGAACCCGACTCAATGTGCTAGACCACAAAATCTAAACAGTTCTACAAGGAACCACAATCTAAGTGTCAGTACTGTCACAATGAACGACAGCTCCTACTACTCTAACCCAGCTGTGAAACGAACCAAACAAAAATCCAGGTGTGTCTCACCTGTATACAGGTGTTACCTGTACTTGCGATTGGCCTCGTCAGTTGTGAGGGCGTGGTCAAACATCAGCACCTTGTGTGCATCCAGCAGACGAGGCCCCGTGTAGTCTCTGTGCTCCAACTCCACAGCGGCGTCCAGGAGAGACAGGTACCTCCTGACGATCAGAGCGTACGGGCTGTCTGTGGGCGGGGGGGCACATTGGTTAGCCTGTTATACTGGTTTGCTGCTCGGGCAGACATGAGGCATGCAGCTGGTACCAGAGACCAGGTTCTAGACCAGGTGTGCCCAACCCTGGTCCTCCAGATCACCCATCCAGCATGTTTTAGAGGTTTCCCTGTTTCAACACACCTGATTTGAACCAGAGGTAGGGATGGGTACCAAATTCTATACTTTTTAAGGCACCGACCCAATTCCATAGTACCAGCTGAGTACTGATTCATGTCATTTGAAACGGTGCCTTTTTCGGTACCCGTGCCGTGCACCGGTGCAAGAACATCGTCAGTCACTGTGGGCGAGCTGAACAGAGAGCAGCGTGACAGAGAGGAAGTGTTCTGAAGTTTGGGTCCACTTCACTAAACAGGACGGATAACTGGGTGGTGATGGCACCAGCAACAACGATCATCCTCTTAATCTGCTCCAGTGGGTAAATAAACTCGTCTCGTCTCGTCTTCCTCCGCTTATCCGGGTCCGGGTCGCGGGGGCAGCATCCCAACTAGGGAGCTCCAGGCCGTCCTCTCCCCGGCCTTGTCCACCAGCTCCTCCGGCAGGACCCCAAGGCGTTCCCGGACCAGATTGGAGATGTAACTTCTCCAACGTGTCCTGGGTCGACCCGGGGGCCTTCTGCCGGCAGGACATGCCCGAAACACCTCCCCAGGGAGGCGTCCAGGAGGCATCCTGACCAGATGCCCAAACCACCTCAACTGGCTCCTTTCGATCCGGAGGAGCAGCGGTTCTACTCCGAGTCCCTCCCGAATGTCCGAGCTCCTCACCCTATCTCTAAGGCTGAGCCCGGCCACCCTACGGAGGAAACTCATTTCGGCCGCTTGTATCCGCGATCTCGTTCTTTCGGTCATTACCCAAAGCTCATGACCATAGGTGAGGATTGGGACGTAGATCGACCGGTAAATCGAGAGCCTGGCTTTCTGGCTCAGCTCCCTCTTCCCCACGACAGATCGGCTCAGCGTCCGCATCACTGCAGACGCCGAACCAATCCGCCTGTCGATCTCCCGATCCCTCCTACCCTCACTCGTGAACAAGACCCCGAGATACTTAAACTCCTCCACTTGAGGTAGGACCTCTCCCCCGACCCGGAGGTGGCAAGCCACCCTTTTCCGGTCGAGAACCATGGTCTCAGATTTGGAGGTGCTGATCCTCATCCCAGCCGCTTCACATTCGGCCGCGAACCTACCCAGCAAGAGCTGAAGGTCAGAGCTGGATGAAGCTAGGAGGACCACATCATCCGCAAAAAGCAGAGACGAGATTCTCCTGCCACCAAACTCGACACACTCCACACCACGGCTGCGTCTAGAAATTCTGTCCATAAAAGTGATGAACAGAAACGGTGACAAAGGGCAGCCCTGGCGGAGTCCAACCCTCACTGGGAACAGGTCCGACTTACTACCGGCTATGCGGACCAAACTCACGCTCCTCTGGTAAAGGGACTGAATGGCCCTTAACAGAAAGCCACCCACCCCATACTCCTGGAGCGTCCCCCACAGGGTGCCCCTGGGGACACGGTCATAAGCCTTCTCCAAATCCACAAAGCACATGTGGATTGGTTGGGCAAACTCCCATGCCCCCTCCATCACCCTTGCAAGGGTATAGAGCTGGTCCACAGTTCCACGGCCAGGACGAAAACCACATTGCTCCTCCTCTATCTGAGATTCAACTATCGATCGGACCCTCTTCTCCAGTACCTTGGAGTAGACCTTTCCAGGGAGGCTGAGGAGTGTGATCCCCCTATAGTTGGAACACACCCTCAGGTCACCCTTCTTAAAGATGGGGACCACCACCCCGGTCTGCCACTCCCTAGGAACTGCCCCCGATGACCACGCAATGTTGTAGAGACGTGTCAACCATGACAGTCCTACAACATCCATAGCCTTGAGATACCCAGGACGAACCTCATCCGCCCCCGGGGCTCCGCCGCTGTGTAGTTGTTTGACTACCTCAGCAACTTCTGCCCCCGAGATCGGACAGTCCATCCCCAGGCCTCCCAGCTCTGGTTCCTCCTCGGAATGCGCATTGGTGGGATTGAGGAGCTCCTCAAAGTATTCCTTCCACCGTCCGACTATAGCCTCAGTTGACGTCAGCAGCTCCCCATCCCCACTGTAAACAGTGTGAGCGAGTTGCTGCCTTCCTCTCCTGAGGCGCCGGACAGTTTGCCAGAACCTCTTTGGAGCCGATCGATAGTCTTTCTCCATGGCCTCACCAAACTCCTCCCACGCCCGAGATTTTGCCTCGGCAACTGCCACTGCTGCACCCCGCTTGGCTATCCGGTACCTGTCTGCTGCCTCCGGAGACCCACAGACCAGCCACGCCCTGTAGGCCTCCTTCTTCAGCCTGACGGCTCCCCGAACCTCTGGTGTCCACCAGCGGGTACGGGGGTTGCCACCACGACTGGCACCGGCCACCTTACGGCCACAGCTAGCAACAGCCGCCTCGACAATCGCAGAGTGGAACAAGGCCCACTCGGACTCAATGTCCCCCACTGCTCTCGGGACGTGGTCAAAGCTCTGCCGGAGGTGGGAGTTGAAGACCGTCTTGACAGGTTCTTCTGCCAGGCGTTCCCAGCAGACCCTCACTATGCGTTTGGGTCTGCCAGGTCTACGCGGCATGTTCCCTTGCCATCTGATCCAACTCACCACCAGGTGGTGATCAGTTGACAGCTCCGCCCCTCTCTTCACTCGGGTGTCCAAAACATACGGTCGCAGGTCAGATGATACGACTACAAAATCTATCATCGACCTGTGACCTAGGGTAAATAAACTGTTTAAGATAATGTTAGCTTGATATGTTAGCTTTTGTTTTCATTGGCTAATGGTGAGTTTGCTTTCTGTTCGGAAATTCCAACTTCCAAGTAGGAAGAATAAACAGTTTGAAAAAGAACGGCAAAAGGAATGAAGATGCACAGTAAATGTAGTTCACAGCAGAGATGTTTGCTTCAGTGTAATTAGCCGTTTATAAAACTGCAAGGACCCACCATCACACAGTTCATAAAACTACAAGGACCCACCATCACACAGTTTATAAAACTACAAGGACCCACCATCACACAGTTTATAAAACTACAAGGACCCACCATCACACAGTTTATAAAACTACAAGGACCCACCATCACACAGTTTATAAAACTACAAGGACCCACCATCACAGTTTATAAAACTACAAGGACCCACCATCACACAGTTTATAAAACTACAAGGACCCACCATAACGCAGTTTATAAAACTACAAGGACCCACCATCACAGTTTATAAAACTACAAGGACCCACCATCACAGTTTATAAAACTACAAGAACCCACCATCACACAGTTTATAAAACTACAAGGACCCACCATCACAGTTTATTAAACTACAAGGACCCACCATCACACAGTTTATAAAACTACAAGGACCCACCATCACACAGTTTATAAAACTACAAGGACCCACCATCACACAGTTGATAAAACTACAAGGACCCACCATCACAGTTTATTAAACTACAAGGACCCACCATAGCAGTTTATAAAACTACAAGGACCCACCATCACAGTTTATAAAACTACAAGGACCCACCATCGCAGTTTATAAAACTACAAGGACCCACCATCACACAGTTTATAAAACTACAAGGACCCACCATCACAGTTTATTAAACTACAAGAACCCACCACCACACAGTTTATAAAACTACAAGGACCCACCATAATGCAGTTTATAAAACTACAAGGACACACCATCACAGTTTATTAAACTACAAGGACCCACCATGACAGTTTATTAAACTACAAGGACCCACCATCACACAGTTTATAAAACTACAAGGACCCACCATCACAGTTTATTAAACTACAAGGACCCACCATCACACAGTTTATAAAACTACAAGGACCCACCATCACACAGTTTATAAAACTACAAGGACCCACCATCACAGATTATTAGACTACAAGGACCCACCATCGCAGTTTATAAAACTACAAGGACTCACCATCACAGTTTATAAAACTACAAGGATCCACCATCGCAGTTTATAAAACTACAAGGACCCACCATCACACAGTTTATAAAACGACAAGGACCCACCATCACACAGTTTATAAAACTACAAGGACCCACCATAACGCAGTTTATAAAACTACAAGGACCCACCATCGCAGTTTATAAAACTACAAGGACCCACCATCACAGTTTATTAAACTACAAGGACCCACCATCACAGTTTATTAAACTACAAGGACCCACCATCACACAGTTTATAAAACTACAAGGACCCACCATCACAGTTTATAAACTACAAGGACCCACCATCACACAGTTTATAAAACTACAAGGACCCACCATCACACAGTTTATAAAACTACAAGGACCCACCATCACACAGTTTATAAAACTACAAGGACCCACCATCACAGTTTATTAAACGACAAGGACCCACCATCACACAGTTTATAAAACTACAAGGACCCACCATCACAGTTTATTAAACTACAAGGACCCACCATCGCAGTTTATAAAACTACAAGGACCCACCATCACAGTTTATAAAACTACAAGGACCCACCATCGCAGTTTATAAAACTACAAGGACCCACCATCACACAGTTTATAAAACTACAAGGACCCACCATCACACAGTTTATAAAACTACAAGGACCCACCATCACAGTTTATTAAACTACAAGGACCCACCATCACACAGTTTATAAAACTACAAGGACTCACCATCACAGTTTATAAAACTACAAGGATCCACCATCAGTTTTTTAAACTACAAGGACCCACCATCACACAGTTTGTCCGGAGGACATAGAAGAGGATTAGGAGTACATGGAGCTGTGTTTTTGCCTCATTTAGAAACTGTTGTTGTTAAAGATTTTCATGTTGAAGAACTTTGTACAACACTACGATGATAAAATGCAAACAATTGTATGTAATTGATCACTATATATTTCAAATATGGTTAAATATTGGGAAATGCATATATACAGTGGGGCAAAAAAGTATTTAGTCAGCCACCGATTGTGCAAGTTCTCCCACTTAAAATGATGACAGAGGTCAGTAATTTACATCATAGGTACACTTCAACTGTGAGAGACAGAATGTGAAAAAAAATCCATGAATTCACATGGCAGGATTTTTAAAGAATTTATTTGTAAATCAGGGTGGAAAATAAGTATTTGGTCACTTCAAACAAGGAACATCTCTGGCTCTCACAGACCTGTAACGTCTTCTTTAAGAAGCTTTTCTGTCCTCCACTCGTTACCTGTATTAATGGCACCTGTTTGAACTCATTATCTGTATAAAAGACACCTGTCCACAGCCTCAAACAGTCAGACTCCAAACTCCTCTATGGCCAAGACCAAAGAGCTTTCGAAGGACACCAGGAAAAGAATTGTAGACCTGCACCAGACTGGGAAGAGTGAATCTACAATAGGCAAGCAGCTTGGTGTGAAAAAATCAACTGTGGGAGCAGTTATCAGAAAACGGAAGACATACAAGATCACTGATAATCTCCCAGAACCACACGGGGGGACCTGGTAAATGACCTGCAGAGAGCTGGGACCACAGTAACAAAGGTCACCATCAGTAGCACACTACAACAGCAGGGAATCAAATCCTGCAGTGCCAGACGTGTTCCGCTGCTGAAGCCAGTGCATGTCCAGGCCCGTCTGAAGTTTGCCAGAGAGCACAAGGATGATAGAGCAGAGGATTGGGAGAATGTCATGTGGTCAGATGAAACCAAAGTCAAACTTTTTGGTATAAACTCAACTCGTCGTGTTTGGAGGAAGAAGAATACTGAGTTGCATTCCAAGAACACCATACCTACTGTGAAGCATGGGGGTGGGAACATCATGCTTTGGGGCTGTTTTTCTGCTAAGGGGACAGGACGACTGATCCGTGTTAAGGACAGAATGAATGGGGCCATGTATCGTGAGATTCTGAGCCAAAACCTCCTTCCATCAGTGAGAGCTTTGAAGATGAAACATGGCTGGGTCTTCCAACACGACAATGATCCCAAACACACCGCCCGGGCAACAAATGACTGTGGAGGGAGTTGAAAGTCCGTGTTGCTCGGCGACAGCCCCAAAACATCACTGCTCTCGAGAAGATCTGCATGGAGGAATGGGCCAAAATACCAGCTACTGTGTGTGCAAACCTGGTAAAGACCTATAGTAATCGTTTGACCTCTGTTATTGCCAACAAAGGTTATGTTACAAAGTATTGAGTTGAATGTTTGTTATTGATCAAATTCTTATTTTCCACCCTGATTTACAAATAAATTCTTTAAAAATCCTGCCATGTGAATTCATGGATTTTTTTTCACATTCTGTCTCTCACAGTCGAAGTGTATCTATGATGAAAATTACTGACCTCTGTCATCATTTTAAGTGGGAGAACTTGCACAATCGGTGGCTGACTAAATACTTTTTTGCCCCACTGTATTTAATTTAAAAAGCAATTTAAATAATTATTTAACACTCAAAAGTATCTAAAATTGGTACCGTTAAGTACCGGTATCGACTTGTAGGTACCTGGAATTGGTACCGTACCGATTAAAGGTACCCATCCCTAAAGTGGTGACTAGCAGTTTTCTGCAGAGCCTGATTAGCTGTTGAGCAGCCACTGAATCAGCAGGGTGAGCTAGCAGGATCAAGTCAATGTTCTCGAGGAAGCAGCTTGAGACTGTAATCCACGCTTTTATCACATTGAGGCTGGATTAGTGTAATTCTGTTCTGACAGGAACAAGTAAGGCTTCCATAAACAGATTGCAGTTGGTGCTTAACGCAGTAGCTAGGTTTCTGACTGGTACAAGGGGGAGGGATCACATCACCCCAGTGCTGGCGGAGCTACAATGGCTACCAGCCTGTTTTAGAATAGATTTTAAGGTTTTGGTCTTTGTTTGTAAAGTTTTATCTGGGGAGGCGCCAGTCTATCCACCATGCTCTAATTTGTTCACTGAGGTCTGCAGACCAGTGTCTGCTGCCTACTCCAAGATATAGCCTGGAAAAGCGAGGTGGTTGGGCCTTCTCGGTGGTTGGGCCCCGGTTGTGGAATGCTCTGCCTTTAGCGGTTTGAACAGCTCCATCACTTCCTGTCTTTAAATCTAGGATAAATACATCTTTGTTTGTTAGCTTTTAATCGGCAGGTTTGTCTCTTAGTTGTGTTTGTAACATGTTTTTATTAGCTGTGTTAGGCCCTTTGGAGCTGACTGAAGTGAGCTAGAAAGTGTGACATAAATAAAATCGCTGATGATGACATGATGTGATCTGGTGTTGGTACTCCTTCCTTCTTAAAGTTGCTGCTGAGATCACAGACCAGCTCTGACAAATCACTGAACTGACAAACATTTATGTCACAGACTCAAACTGCCAACAATCAGCAGTTTGTGGTTTTTCAGAATATTTTTGTAAGTTTAGAGAAGTGTCTGCAGATTTTAAGTTTTGGTTGGATTGTAGTGTGTGAGGTGTTTTCACCAACACTGACATACTCACTGCAGAACAGTTATGTTATGTGTTTTAAGTGAGTAAGGCTGTAGCATACTGGTGGCCATTTCTGAACAGAAAAACATATTAATGTTACATTTTAACAGGGTTAGATGCTGCCGTTTGTATGTTAACTCATTCACTGCCCACCGTTTCCTGATTGGTTAAGCCCTTCCCTGCCAGCGTTTTTCACCGTTTTTACTGTTTTCTTAAGAGTCACAGAGCGTTGTGCGCTAGGATCATGTCGACACCAAAGCGGAGACTCACCTCTTACATCAAGAAGAATCTGTGCGTTTCGAGCGTTATCCGTTCTTTCATAATCCGTTGTTGAATTGTGATCGGCAGAAGATTTTCCGGTTCGCGCCTCACTTTTTTTTACAGTAGCGGCCCAAAACGATCTCCTAACACATGGATTTTCTGCTTCCTGATCACGTAATGTGTGACGTATGCGGATGAAGATTGGCTTTAGAGTTGAGATGTTTGTTCTCTCGGCGCGTGGGCTCGTTCCGACTCCCACACAGTAAAAAAATGCAAATGACTTTAGTCGTCAATGGCGGTCAGTGGGTTAAAGAGCAAGTCACCCCCAAATCAACTTTTTTGTTTCGCTAATAATCTATATAACCGAGTGTCTAATCATGCTGTAGTCAATAATTTGGCACTGTTACAGCTCCTGAAATGAGAGAAACCATGCACCCATCTGACAAATTTTGGCGTGCCAGTGCGACCAGCTGATTGCTTCCAATGTCCATGGCCATGCCCCTCTGTCCCCATTGGTCAGGCTTTGTGTAGCTTGTCAGGATCATGTGTGGCTGCAGCATAAAAGGCTGTTTGGTACAACTCCAAAGAGATGAGACTGATCAAAGATCTCCTTGGTAGCTCCTGCCAGCGTGGCAGGTCGTTTTAGAGGCTGATTTTAAACCCTTATCTCCCACAATGAGCTCAAACCTCCTCCTTATGTTGCGATCCCACGAGCCGGGTCGTAACAGGATCTTTAGTGCATCTCAGTTAAAATGTAAACATTCTGCCTAAAACTGTCAGCGTTGCGCCCTCTTCAGGTAAAAACTCTGCACTGCATTTGAATTTAAATCTGCCATCACTATTGGCTATGAGGTACCCTATGAAGTTAGCTGATACATTATAATGTCACAATGTCGTTGTGAGCCTGTGTGTGTGTTTGTTAGTGGCTCCGCCCTCTCGGTCAGCCAGGTAACAGCATTTGTTGCATTTTTCAAACAGGAAGTGGGAGTGGAGTTAGGGTGACAGCGAGTGACTTGTTCTTTGAACTCCCCACTTCAAACACAACGGTAAAAAAAACACAAGCTTCAGGGAACATTTGTAAATGTTATTTCAGCTGTGTGTGTGTGTGTGTGTGTGTGTGTGTGCGCGCTCTGTCTTCTCCATCCCCAGTGAGTCATGGTGGATGGCTGCTTATACTGAGCCAAGATCCTCTGGAGGTTTCTTCCTGTTAAAAGGGAGTTTTCCTCTCCACTGTCGCTGCATGCTTGCTTAGTATGAGGATTGCTGTAAAGACTCTCTGACACTAGTCAGTGACTTGATGCAACCGGCTGGGTTCCTTATACAGGAAACTTGTTACTGATTGGCTTAGGTGGCCTACCGCGTTTATGTGAGAGAAAAAAAAAGTTGTCTCTAAGGGAAGGTAAAACTCAATTTTACAGCCGCTCACATCCGGTTTTCCCAGTCAACAAAGGACCTGGTGTCTGGTACTGACCAGCCTCTGTGGACCAAGTAGGAAATGTTTCTCCTACATAGGCTGCGCCATGGCTATGAGATCACCCCCCCCCCCATCCCCGCGCTGTACTGAAAAACCCAAAATCGTATCCATGTAGCGTTCCACTCCTACTGTTTAGTGACTTTAGGCCGTTTGGTGACTAGTCTGCACCACTCACTGGTTACGTTGCTGATGAAGACGGTGGAAAACACCCGGTGCAGCACCATTCCAGGAAAGTGTCCCAGCTGGAACAGGGACATCAGGATGTTGACGGTTGCAAGCGGCGAGCTGAGTGCCTTCAGCTCCACCACTTCTTCCAGCCGAGAGAAGAACTGCTGCTCGTTGGACGGCCGGTAACTCATCCTGCTGAACGGGAACACCAGTTTCTGGATCACCTGAGGACACAGAAACACACCCTTAGCTTCAGGATACCCCACCTTCATCCTGCCTAACCCACGACTACTGAGCTCTTCTACCTTGCTGTCCAGGTACTCCGCCTTTTTCACCAGGAAGTCTGCAATGGTGTCAAGCAGCCGTGTCTCTCTGAGCCGATGGCGTGCGATGTATTTGGAGATCAGAGCCATTGTGTAAGGTGTGATGCTGTCCACCTTCTTGGGTAACTCCTCTGGTAACGAAAATCAGCATGTAGATACGTCATCAGAGGGTTCGGGTTGTTATGCATCTACCTGGCGTACATTTAGAGTCTGGGTTTTACCCGTAGGTGAGTGCTTGTGTTTTTCTCTGTAAACAAGGCTGTTGCTAGCTGAAGCTAACAGCTAGCTGGTGCTAGAGAGGCTGGCTTTATTCAACACCACCATGGTAATCCTGGCTTCACATTCTACTGCCTCTTTAGGATTTCCTGCCACCGGGACCTTCTGATGTGCGATGGGGCATCTCACATCCATCACTGGGCTACATTACAGCATTATGAATTCTGTGGTGGTCAAAAGCCTAGTCTATACTTCACCGTCTGCAGGCGCGGACACGAGTAACACCGTTATCCGTGGTCACGAGGGCTGTCCAACAAGGTCAGGACATGTGGAGCTCAAACTTCTAACTCTCTGTTGAAAGTAATGGAGACCACAAGCCTGTGATTGGTCACATGGACGATGGTGAACTGTTGTTTTCACAATAGACTGATTAGTTTGATTTAGTGACAAGCTGCTCCTGTAGAAACTAATGAAGGCTGAGGAGACGTGTCAGCTGTTAGATGGAGGTGTTAAGAAGAGGAACGAACAGCGAGGACATAAGTTTCACTGTTGGTTCTACTAAACAGACACTAGGGGGTGCTAACAGCAGGCCACAACTGCCACGTGTGCCTTTAAGGTGACAGAAATGCAGAAAGGTTCAAATTAAAACGCTAGTGTTCCTCTACAGGGTTCCGGTTTTATTTCTGGCAGGAACCTCTCCTCTGTCCGACCGCGCTTCCCACCTCTGACACTTTCTCCAGGCAGTGTTCTGTCTTTTACGGGTTCCTGAGCTGAGAGAACTTCTACTTCAGCAGCTAGAGCCTCCATCTCGCTGTCACTGATGTTTTAGTTTCCTTAAGATCTCAGGGGTTCCCCTCATGAGCTTTACAGGATGTGGTGTGACCAAATATGGTAATGAGGGCGTTCCTGTATGTAAATGACTGAATAAACATGAGACCTGGGTACGCACAGGTGGGATTTATCATCAGCAGGTTGTACGAGAGGCCACCGCATGTTTCATAAATCAGGGTTTTGGCCGTTCGTACGAACGCTCTAGTAGTAATGCTACGACCGATATCCAGATGTTTTCCACCTTTTTGTCATGCTTAAGTGTCACTAATGACATCATTAATGACATCAGTTGATGCACAACATTTTTGAAGCTACACCACTTTGTGAACTCTGAATTGAACTAACTGTTTAATCAAGCAGTTTTAAATCTCTGAAAGCAAAGGTGGGCACAATGTATGATAAAGTATTACCCCTTTATCTGAAATACTGGTTCATCAGCCTGAATTTGTACCTGAAAAAAAAAAAAGATTGAAGCTCCGCCCAAAGCCACACCCACAACAGCATCGCAGCTCTTGTATTAGCCTAGCCTAATTTCTGCTTCTCCTTCTGCGTCGGCGCAAGGGCTCTCCGACAGGCTCACAGAGGGTGACGTTAACGTACCAAAAAGGTCAATTTTCACCTACATGCTGATCAACATAATAACCTTTCATCTACAGCATAAATCCACTTTCTACGCGGCCTTCCAGAACCAGAAGGTTCTGTTCATTCAGTGCGTGTTTAAATACCAGAAAGACATAATGAAAGTGTCAAGGGTCCTGCACTCTCTGCGTAAAAGCCAGACTGCTGAATTCCTCACTATCCACTTGAAGCTTTAACATGATTTATAGTTATAAGTTAAATAATCATATGAATGAATGAACAAGATGTTTAAATGAAATGTTTGAATAATCTGTGCTTAAATCAATTAACTAAAAATGAATATTGTTCTTACAGTGATCCATTTATATCACAAATCAGTATGTGTTTTAACAAGAGTAAGAGTTTTGATCATTTTCATTCACAAAGTGTTAAAACTAGGGATGCACCGATACCTCTTTTTTCCAAACCGATACGATACCGATACTTGTATCTGAGTGCTCACCGATACCGATACCGATACTTCTACAACACAAAAAAAAGCTAGGATTTGGAATACAGATTTTATTTTCTTCTCTGCTTTCAACAGGAGAAGACTGCGAGGTAGATAAAAAGTAAAATATATGAATGGAAATCATCACAAAACTAAAATATTAGGTGAACAGAAATGACAAGCTACAGTGAAGCTATATTCAAGCAACTGCATTGGTATCGGTTCCTGGTATCGGTTAACGTTTACTGATACCAATACTGGTATTGGTATCGGCACAGATACCGATACCAGTATCGGTATCTGTGCATCCCTAGTTAGTGGGGCAAAAAATTATTTAGTCAGCCACCGATTGTGCAAGTTCTCCCACTTAAAATGATGACAGAGGTCAGTAATTTTCATCATAGGTACACTTCAACTGTGAGAGACAGAATGTGAAAAAAAATCCATGAATTCACATGGCAGGATTTTTAAAGAATTTATTTTTTAATTCAGGGTGGAAAATAAGTATTTGGTCACTTCAAACAAGGAACATCTCTGGCTCTCACAGACCTGTAACGTCTTCTTTAAGAAGCTTTTCTGTCCTCCACTCGTTACCTGTATTAATGGCACCTGTTTGAACTCATTATCTGTATAAAAGACACCTGTCCACAGCCTCAAACAGTCAGACTCCAAACTCCACTATGGCCAAGACCAAAGAGCTTTCGAAGGACACCAGGAAAATAATTGTAGACCTGCACCAGACTGGGAAGAGTGAATCTACAATAGGCAAGCAGCTTGGTGTGAAAAAATCCACTGTGGGAGCAATTATCAGAAAATGGAAGACATACAAGACCACTGATAACCTCCCTCGATCTGGGGCTCCAAGCAAGATCTCATCCCGTGGGGTCAAAATGATCATGAGAACGGTGAGCAAGAATCCCAGAACCACACGGGGGGACCTGGTGAATGACCTGCAGAGAGCTGGGACCACAATAACAAAGGTCACAATCAGTAACACACTACAACGGCAGGGAATCAAATCCTGCAGTGCCAGACGTGTTCCGCTGCTGAAGCCAGTGCATGCCCAGGCCCGTCTGAAGTTTGCCAGAGAGCACATGGATGATACAGCAGAGGATTGGGAGAATGTCATGTGGTCAGATGAAACCAAAGTAGAACTTTTTGGTATAAACTCAACTCGTCGTGTTTGGAGGAAGAAGAATACTGAGTTGCATCCCAAGAACACCATACCTACTGTGAAGCATGGGGGTGGGAACATCATGCTTTGGGGCTGTTTTTCTGCTAAGGGGACAGGATGACTGATCCGTGTTAAGGACAGAATGAATGGGGCCATGTATCGTGAGATTCTGAGCCAAAACCTCCTTCCATCAGTGAGAGCTTTGAAGATGAAACGTGGCTGGGTCTTCCAACACGACAATGATCCCAAACACACCGCCCGGGCAACAAAGGAGTGGCTCCGTAAGAAGCGTTTGAAAGTCCTGGAGTGGCCTAGCCAGTCTCCAGACCTCAACCCCATAGAAAATCTGTGGAGGGAGTTGAAAGTCCGTGTTGCTCGGCGACAGCCCCAAAACATCACTGCTCTCGAGAAGATCTGCATGGAGGAATGGGCCAAAATACCAGCTACTGTGTGTGCAAACCTGGTAAAGACCTATAGTAATCGTTTGACCTCTGTTATTGCCAACAAAGGTTATGTTACAAAGTATTGAGTTGAATTTTTGTTATTGACCAATTACTTATTTTCCACCCTTATTTACAAATAAATTCTTTAAAAATCCTGCCATGTGAATTCATGGATTATTTTCACATTCTGTCTCTCACAGTTGAAGTGTACCTATGATGAAAATTACTGACGTCTGTCATCTTTTTAAGTGGGAGAACTTGCACAAACGGTGGCTGACTAAATACTTTTTTGCCCCACTGTAAATCCTTTTGTGGCTGGGGACGGCGTGGCTTTATGAGGAATGTTGGTAAATACTCAGAAACATGTCAAATTCTGATTGGCCAAACTTGGCCAGAAATCATAACAAAGTAGTTCAATAAAACAAGACTTCATTCCCGATTAATTCAGTTTCCAGCTGAGCCCTGATTTGGCTGAATGTAAAAAAAGCCTCTTTTGAAACAATCTCCTTTGACCTCCTGTCAAAGCCTCTCTGCAACGCTGCAAGCTGATCCAGCCAAACAGATTTTCAGAGCTACTTCAACTCTCAAACATCCACCTTGGACGCTGATAAGCATTCCAGCTTCCTGTTGTGACCTGGAGACATCTCAAGACCGGACTGGTCGTTTCGGAGCTAATCTACGGGCTCCAGATACCTTGGGGTCGAAGTCCACCCGACTTCTGACAGTCCGGATCTGCTGGGGGTCTCCACAGGGGTATTGTGTCATGTATGATGAATTTTTATTAATAAACAACTCTCTATTTTACAACAAACAACAAATGCTTTTACACCCAGATTTCACAATTTCTCTCAGATACAAAGAACAGTTGCTACAACATCTAGCTTCCATCACAACACCTCACATCCACCACACCACATCTCATTATTCATATATTGTCATGTATAAATAATTAGTTTAGGAAAAATAATTAAATCCATTTCATTAACTATATACTGACTCTGTATGAATTAATACAAAGTGTGTTTATGGTCCCTGAAGAACCAAAGAACCCTAGAATCTTCAGATTAAACATTCAAAGATCAATCAGGTTAATATTTCATATTTATATGGAATATCACATCTTACTGGGCATAATGTTTTAATTGTTACAGTGACGGAGACAAACATCGGCTGTACCTTTGTTAAAAAAGTTCACAGATATTTAGCAGCACACCCAGAACAGACTGAAGAACGCATCGCGGAAAAAGTCAGAAAATATGAACATTTACCTCACCTGTGAGCGAAGGAGTACAAAATACGGAGCAAACGTGGACGTAAACGACGGGAAACGTGGGTTTGGAGGTGGTGAACACTAAACGTGCCGGAGAAGGGGAGTAGTAAGGTGTGTGTTACCAGAATAAATGACCCCTGTAGTAACCTGAGAGTGTTGGAGTCATCACGTCATGATTACATTTATCAGCCGTAGCTCCGAGTGGGCGGAGCCCAGCGTCGTCCACCACAGAGAGGCTGCTCCTCTAGCTCAGTCATGTGATGTTGGATGGGTCTGACTGTAGCTCCTGCCTGGGTTTGATCTTTGAAATTCCTGGTATAGCTGCTGTGTCGACTCATTTGAACGAGCTGCCCTTGGGCTTTACATCACTCTCACAGACGGAGTAAAAATGAGCTGTACACTGTTGCTGTGGCGCGCGCACGTGTGTGTGTGTGTGTGTGTGCGTGTGCGTGTGTGTGTGTGTGTTGGGAGGGGGGTAATGCTGCACATTATGCCGGCTACAGAGTATGAGAGATATTGTACGATCGGCTCGGAATGGTGGTCGGAATTTCCTGACCATGTTTTTTATGGAAACTGGACGACTTTGATCGGTGGCTGATCAATCGGAATATCCCTACATTCTACATTTCATTCGTAGGATGAAATCAAGAAGTTTCTACCAACGCTTGACCAGAAGAAGCCTAACCCTAACCCTTGAGAAACAAGCCTCCAGGTAGAGCGGTGAACCTGTAAAACCTTGAATGGATTTGGAGGACCAAATCTGCCAAGACCCTGCTGGAAGAGCAATGATCACTCTCTCCATTCGATACACCGAACAGGTAAAACAGCAGGCGGCTAACCTGTTTCCAGGTGAAACATACCTGCCAGGCTACTGATGAATCTCTCCTGTCTGTTCTGATAGAACAGGTGAGAGCTGAAGATCAGCTCCAGACTCTTGTTGCTTGCCTCTTGAGCGCATGCCGCCAGCATTTCATCCAACAGCGCCATCTCCTGGTCGCGGACTCCACTGACGCTGGCCAGAGTGTGTTTGACCAGCCGTAGGATCTTCCTGAAAGAGCACAGACTTCAGACTCGTCTCAAGGAGCCTCAGTCCGAGTCAGACCTCTGATTCTCACCTGTTGGTCAGCAGCTGCTCTGAGCTGGAGGTGGCAGCTGTAGCACCTCCTTTGACCGGCTCCAGCAGCTGCAGAGAGCGCCACTTGAGTCTGTAGTAGGACAGCAACAGGAAGAGGGTCTGCGGGTGGCGTTCCCGCTCCAGGTTCTTCTCTAGGCCGGCTAGGCATGCTTCAGTCAGTGGGTGCTGGCTGCCTGGGTGGAGCTTCATAGTAGAGCTGAACACCATGGACATGTCCTTCTGGTTGAACTGGTTCAACCTGGACTGGGACTCTGCCTCTAGAACCTGGACCACCTGGGAGTCGCTTGGCAGGCCTGAGGGAAGAGTAGCGAGAAGATGAGGTCAGGGTTAGGACCATTCCAGAGTGACTGGGTAGAAGTAGACTCACCCAAGGCAGCCACAGCATACAGGCAGTTGACAATGCTGAAGTTGTCGAACTTGGAACAATCGCTGATGATGGCGCTACAGAGCATCTGGAAGTCCGGATGCTCCAGGATGCACCTCTTGTCTCCCTCTGGTGCTCCACTTTTGGAGGCCTCGCCATCAGAAGCATCCCTGCTGGACTGCAGCGTGGGCGTGGCCTGCAGAAGCTGTCCAATCTTCTGCAGAGCCACAGGGTAGTGGTTGTGGGAGATCTTAGCAGGGTTCTGGGTGATCCACCTCAGAACCTCGTCGGGTCGCCGCGAGCGCTCGATCAGACGCTTCATGGTAAAGAACGTGTCGTAGCTCATCTTCTCATGGATGAAGTTCCAAGTTTTCTTCTTAGGGACCCCAACAACTGGAGCTCCTCCCCCATAGCTGTGTATGGGGACTTGGTGGTGGTAGTGGGGGGGCAGAGGGGTTGGGTGCAGGTGGTGGGCGTGTGGGTGGGGGTGGTAATGGTGGTGGAAGTGTGCTCCTTTGTGGGCATCAGGTCGACCCTGGTACAGCTGGTAGGAGGGGAGAGGTGGTGGTGGGTGTGGGTGATGGGGGACATGTGGGTGGGGCGCCTCCAGCATCGCTAATCCCGCTCTTCGTCCTTGCTTGAACCCGCCTCCCCCTCCCCCTCCTGTGGTGCTGTAGAGGCGGGTGGCATACATGCTGCCGAGCAGATCAGAGGGGTGGGGGGTGAGGGGAGGCAGGAGGTGGGCTCGGCTTAGGAGGCGCCACCCAGTGGACGAACACAGCATAGTCCCACAGTCAGACCGCCTGGAGGAACCGGCTCAGGTCTCCTGGAACAGGACAGAGACACGAGGCTGGATATCTCTGGTTAAAGTCCCACTGGTGTGTGTGTATGTGTGTGTGTTGACCCATCCCTGTATTGGGCAAGTTACTTCAAAACTGTAATGCATTATTTATTACTTGTTTCCCTCATTTTAAAGTAATTCATTACGTTACAATATTACTGATTTAAAATTTTAAGGCATTACACTACTTTTGCATTACTTTAAGTAACTTTCACCAAAACAACTTCAATATGAATCTGGTTAGGGCTGCAACAACGAATCGATAAATTCGATGAAAATCGATTACTAAAAGCGTTGGCAACGAATTGCGTCATCGATTCGTTGTGTCGCACAACTCTTCCACCCCCCCACCCCCACCCCCCACCCCCTTCCGTTGCCAGAGCAAGTCAGATCAGCGCGAGGGAGAGCCGGCAGACTTGCGCTGCTGCGAACCGGTTCCGCCCAAGGCCGGATTAACTGGGCAATTGCCCAGGGCCCACGAACTCTAAAGGGCCCAGGGCACGAGCACAATACTGTATCAATAATTTCCCAATTTATGAGGACTATGGTGACCGTACGTTCCGTTTTCCCCGGACATGTCCACTTTTCACTCTCTGTCCGGGGCGTCCGGACTGCGGGTTCTTGTATTGATGAAAATGTCCGGCTTTTCATCCAGGAGCAGGGATCGAATCATGGGGGAGCTGTATATCCTACACATCCGGGGAGCTGGAAAAAAGTTTTCTATATTATATCATTTTTGGACTCTTTTGAGCAGAGAGCGGCACAGCGCATTGTTGCACAGCGATCCAGGCAGCTGCTTCCAGCGCAAGGTCCATTCTCAAAGTGGCACAACCAAAAATCTATAATTAGCACACGATCGTTCATGTCTGCACATGTTCTCTATTTTCTGTCTTATTTGTGCCTGAAGCGCGCTACTGCGGAGCTCATCACCTGTGCTGTGGTGATGTCACCTCACGCAGCATCGAAAACGCGCTCTGCGCTTTGCGGTCAGGAGATCCCTTTGATCTGCTCAAAAGTAACTGATGAGGTGAAAAAGTAAGAATCCAGGCAACAGATTTTCTGGAGAATTAAGAGGAGATGCAGGAAGATGAGAGACAGACAGGACAGGAAAATACTTCAATAAAAACAAGAAAACTAAACAAAGTGTTGAAAAGTCAAATGTAGGTATTTATCTCCACGACACGTTTTTACCGTAAAAAACAATAAGTTATACACATGTAATATTTATACATCTGATACAATTCAGATCACCTTCAAAACTCAGTCACACACCCAGGGCCGTTTCAAGACATTTTGGGGGCCAAGGCAAAATGCCCCCCCCCCCCCCCCCCCCCCCCATAACTGGGCTCCCCAGAAGCCTCTGTGTAATTCATACCTTCTCCAGTAGTGTTAGTTATATGGTGTTTATAAAAGCCCCTCAGACATTACTGACATGCTCTAATATTATCAGATGAAAAACTAACTTATCAGACATGCTGTCTCATCTGCTTCTTTTCTAAACTTGCAAAAAGTAACAAAACCATTTGAAAGCCACTATTTGTGGATTCTCTGAAAGTTTCCATGGAGTGTGTGACAACTTATTTTTTCATTGATCCTATCGTCTAATCTCACAGCTGAAACAAGCATCCTTAATCATCTGTGCACAGGAAGCTTACCGATGCTGTAGTAAAACAAAAGGTATAATAATTTATTATTAATAAAACCTTGTTGCAGCACTAAAGCAGAAAAATGAGATTTTGCATTAAATATGCAAAATATTTACATATGAATTGTTTTAGAGCCCTTTTATTGGCAGGCATTCAAGTATTGAGTATATTTACTGCATATTACAGTAAAATATTCTGTATGTGACCACATTATGGTGATCCTCGGGTCGTGATGATGGAGCCCTTGAATATTGTTGCCCAGGGTACAACAAAGTGTTAATCTGGCCCTGGTTCCGCCGTCACATTCCAGCAGAAACTGGTTGATCACACCGGGGCCAGACTACTAGCATGTGGTTTTACAACCACAATGTCCTCAGAAGCAAAAACGCTTTTAAAAGGGAGGGAGGAGTCCTAACTGTTGCTGCAGGCGTGTTGTGTGAGAGTGCAGTTATATACTGGTTCATATATGTTTGGGTTCAGTTGCTTTCATGTGGCCTAATGTGAGTCTATTTGGGATCATTGGAATGACCAGCAGCATTTCTTGATGTGACTTTATGGCAGTTGCCCAGGGCATCATCGCAAGGAGGATGGCATTCATTTACTTTTGTTTTATTTGGTATTATTTCAGTCATTTTTGGAAATAGTGATCAATTTTGATTAATTCACAGCCTATGTTTAATTAAATTTAAAAATTAGTTGTTTGACATCCCCAGTTATAATAAATGTCAACAGATTAGATCAAACAAAACAGATGAGAATTGCCCTTAAGCTGTTTAACTTGGACCAAGCATTTTAGGTCACAGATAGATGTAGCTTAGGGTCTCTGTCTATACACCTTATAAGACAATTTAGGTGATGGCATGTTGTTTTTCTGCTATTGAACTGTTTTCTAATAATGTTGTGTTAAATAAAGTGAAGGAAGGAGAGAAATAACGTTTCCCTAGCAGTGTTTAAAAATTTCCCCATGTAATCCGATTAATCGTGTCGAGACCCCATCCGATTCATCGATTATCCAAATAATCGTTTGTTGCAGCCCTAAATCTGGTAATCTGACGCTCAGTGAGCTCATGACATATATGTGGAAGGTGATGTGGTGTCTGAGCTAGGATTGCTGTTAAAACAGTCGGATATAATAACAGTGCTTTAAAATGATTGTTTATTAAATGAAAGCAACAACAATTTGTACTCTCAACACGCTGCCATCTTATATTAACTGAGCAGGGAGTGGGGTGGTGGGGGCTCCAAGCCTAAATTTGCCTTGGTCCCCAAATGCCTTGATACGGCCCTGGATGTGGGACTGACTTCTGGGGTGATCTGATTCTATCACACGTATAAATATTAAATGCTTATATATCTACCTACTTTTTTTCTTTTCAAGCACTTTGTTTTGTTTTCTTGATTTTATTTGAATAATTTCCAGCCCTCTCTCTCTCTAACCTTCCTGCATGCTGCATGTTTTCTCCGTTGGCCAGAAAAACTGTTTCCTAGATTTCCTACTTTCTAACTACTCAGCCAAAGGGATCGACCGAACACAAAAAAAAAAAAATTAAATAAAAGCCTAATATGTGCTGCGCTCCAGCAGCAATGAGTTGAAATCACCGGGGCACAGATTATGAACTCAGCTGAAAAGTACATGAAGTACCAGAGAATATGGGCTGATATAAACGATCGCAAACAAATTACTTTGTTTTGGTGGAGCGATTTTGTGACTATAACAGCGGCCGCGCGCAGGACGCAGCTGGAGTATTTGAGCCGTTACCGCTGCGTCCTCTCTGCTCATAGAATGCCCGCAAAGCTGAGTCCATAAATGACGTCATATATCAGGGTATCTGCAGGTTTAAGGGAGCCAAATTTAAGACTTTTTAAGACCTTTTTAGGGCCACTTCGACCAAATTTAAGCAATTTTTTAAAATTAAGTTTAAGCTTTAATTTCCAGCTATTGCCTGGAACTGGTGCTAACCACGTCGCGAATGTGGGATTAGCCATCCAGTTACCATTAAACTTGCACTTCCCCATGGCGCAAGCTCCCACTAGCTTAACCAGCTAATGTGCCCATCTAAAAATAGCCCCCTTTCACAACCAACTGAATGTGTACGGTTCTGCTTATGCCAACCATCATACACAAAAAATGCTGAACACTCGAAATTCACGAAAATTTTATAGACATAAAAGAATCTTGTTTATTGGGTCTTTGGTAGTTTAAGACCTTTGGAAACTGTATTTAAGGATTATTTGTAATTTTTAAGGATTTTCAAGGCCTTAAATTTGGAAAAGCAAATTTAAGACTTTTTAAGGACCCGCGGATACCCTGATATATGTGGATACTGGATCTTTTTGCAGGCTTCCCGCAATTTGAATTTTTAGGAAACCCACATCTTGATTCTGGGTTTAAAAATGCGTTGTAATTACCGCGTTACTGACAATTGTACCGAGTAAATATTACCATTTTCTTTCCCTGTAATGCCTTACATTACCACATTACAGCAAAAAGCAATGCATTACAGTAATTAATTACTTTTGAACCGCGTTACTCCCAACACTGCCCCTATGGGGAGCGGTGAGCTGCAGAAATGGCCATACTTGGGAACGATTTGGTGATTACACACACGTATGTAAACACACACACACAGAGATGGAAGAAGGAAGAGCGAACAAGAGAACTGAGAATCCAGGGGTTGAGCTGGGTCAAAGGTCACACCAAGATCACATTTTTCATGGCTTTAGTCCTGGCATTGGAGAGTAACAACATCATGTATGACATCAAACAGCGATAACTACGTGATTTCCTTCTTTTTAGTTTAATGGTGGACGGCATTACACAAATCGTGACCTTTGAACTCTCGAGGGATCTTGAGACCTGTCGAGTCCAGCGCGGAGTGGGCACATGGTGAACTGTTCCATGCCACTCACGCGTCCAGGATGAAGCAGGGCTTGTTTTAATACCTGGCTGAGAACGATCAGATCGGGACTCTGGTTCGGCAGATACTCACATCAAATGACTCGGAATCGGATTGGGAGCAAAAGCCTGATTGAAACGTCCCTACTTGTTCCACATGTAATGTTGGTAACCTCGCTCAAAAGCAGCTGGAAGCTCTCCTGTTCAATCTGGTTTTTCTCCTCGTCCGGCTCTTTCCACCAACTCCTCTTTCCTTTTCTCCCTCTCCTTACATTTTTAATCACAATTTTCCTTAATTTTAAACAAACGTTTTAATCACTTTTAAAGATCCTTTTTATGTTTGAATTGTTTTGTTCTTGTGAAGCGCCTCGTGGTATTTATTTGGAGAGGTGCTTCATAAAAGATTGTTTTCTGTCTTTCAACATTTAACAAATCAGCTGTGTTCGTGATCCAAAACCTACAGGAAACGCGCTGAAGCAGCTCCATCAGGACAGTCCAGCTGATGAGACTGTCTCGTGGTGGTCCAGAAGACCCTGTGAGTCCATCTGGAATGTGCTCCACTGAGGCTAAAGACGTGTTGCTCCATCATGTCTCTGCTAGGACAGGGATCACGTCCACATTAGTACGAGCATGTCTCTCAACCTCTCTACGTCAGACAGGAAGAGGGTGTGGAGCTGGAGGGATTGGACACGAGGACCCTGATTTGTCCAGCTGTCCCACACCTGAGCAGAACACAATGCTCTGTGCCAGTAATTAGACGGAGCCGTGATCCAGTAGGACACCTGCACGCACGAACACACACCTGTCAAGTCACCTCACAGTCCCATGCTAAAGCTGCTAACACGTCTCTCACGCAAGATGACGTCATGGTTAAAATGACGTGCAATGGTGTCGTCAGATGGTATAATGCTGCATGCTAAACTGAACCAAGGCTACTTGAGCTAGCTCTGTTAGCTTCATGTTAGTCATGACCCGGGTTCAGGCGCGTGCACAAAGCGCTGTCTGCGTGACACGCGCCTGACACCGACGGACGGGTTACCTCATAGCTCAATAAGGTGGCAGTCCACTCGGTAAAACACCGGAGGTCGCTGAGCGCGAATTCACTGGAGAAACCGTATTCGGTCAGCCGCCTCATTCCTCCACTCTGTCTGTAGCCTCCATCCTGCCGGAGCCGGTGTAGAATCTGGAGTAGCGCGGGACAGCGACACCCCGCGGCTCCACGGGGAAATACACCCTAACCCACTTCACTAGGTGTTTTACTTCATTCAGATGGTTACCACATACAGTAGATGTGTGGTTTAGCGTAGATCCTCCTGTTACACACACCTTCACGTGTAACAGCTCCATGCCTGCAGTAGGCTAGCCGTAGAAACACCAACTCCGTGTGAGACAGCCACTAGCACCTACACAAGAGAACCGTGTGGTTTATGCCGCTGGAGAACTTTTACATAAACATGTAAGTTTGACACGGGCTCTTTTTGCTCATCAGAAGCACAAACATTAAATGGTCTGTGGAGCGCCATCTAGGGTTCTACAACCCCCCAAGGCGCTTCACAACACAGTCATTCACCCACGCACACATTCACATGTTGGTGGTCTTTAGGGTCTTCTCAGCCATGCCACTGTACTGTTTGGTGTAACTCATCGACATATAAATATGGTGTAACTACGTTGTTCATACTCCCGTTTCTCCTGCACACAAGGCTCCAACATGGAGAAGAAAACTGCCACTGTACTATTTAGCCAAAGACGGCAGCATCCTTGTTGCGCCTGCACGTGTTGTTGTTTTTGCAGCGACTCTGCGCCAGGGGGCACTGTCGTCACTAGCAAACGTAAATATCAGAAGAAGAAGAAGTTGCGTGGCGGAAACATGGCGGACCTGGTTACGGAACAGTTCGGTTAAACGCAGTTTAGCTCCGTGGTCGTGTCTCGGATCCGGTTCGGGTCAGGATGGCTCACCAGTACCTGCGGCTGTCCTTCGGCTGCAGGAGCCTGGTCCGGCTGCTGCTTCGACCCCCCGGGACTCTCAGACCGGTAGGTGGAGGACTAGCAGTGCTAACCTTGACATCTGTACCGATCCGGTTCGGTCCCGAGACAAACATCACTAGAGAGCTTACCATGGGCTCTGAAGCACAGACACAAATTACGTATCTACCTGAATGTGACGTCAGCAAGGTATCCTGCTTACCTAGAATCCGCAAAACACACGAGAGGTCAACTGGTTTCATCCCCGACCAGATAGTAGTCAGAACCACGAGGGTGAACTTTGACCCGAAAATACGGTTCTGTTTAGTTCTGACTAGTGATGGGAATTCCGACTCTTTTTAGAGAGCTGGTTCTTTTGGCTCAGCTCACCAAAAAGAGCCGGCTCCCAAGTGGCTCCTCAGATTTTCTGTTGTGTAGACTACATTTATAACCAAAATAATGCTAAACTATATGTAAAATAATTTACTAATGTAAAAAAAGCAATATATCAAATATTTATCATTTCTATGGATTTAATAACTGAACACTTTACGACTGCTGGTGCTCATTTTCTCACCGTTTTCGTAGCACTCTCCTCCCTCTCACTTGCCTTTTCCCTCCTCCTCATTCCCTCTCGTTTCCCTCCACCTGCATGTGCTCTGCTGTGTGTCTGAGTCTGATCCTCCCTCTTCCCCGCCCCTACTGCTCTGTGTGTGGACAGTCTGGACACGCAGTTACACATGTTGACCAATCGCCTGTAGCTTTCACCAAAGCAAGGGGGGGGGGGGGTTCCCAATGACGAGCCGGCTCCCGTCGTTCACTTCAAAGAGCCGGCTCTTAGAGCCGGTTCGTTCGCGACCAACACATCACTAGTTCTGACCCAGCTGACTGGGCCAGGACTAAACTAGCTTTTCATGTTGGTTCCAGGTTCTGTCGAACCTGAGCAGCAATAAGTTCCTTATATGGACCGTCATCAGGGGACTTCCTGTCTGTCTTCTCAGGTGATGTCTTCAGCTGCTCCAGGACAGGTGGAGAGTGGGTGGAGCCTAGAAGCCTGCAGGAGGCTGAGCTCCAAACCTCCTAAAGGTGGGTACCCACAACAGAGGAGGGCCTGATTCATCACCATACTTGCGCACAGATCCGTACATAGGAACACGTTTCCACATCGTGTGTAGAAATGTTCCCACACACCAGAACAGCTGTGCCCATGCTAGCGCCGCACCTGGAGGTAGAACGCTGGAGAACCAGCTATTGTTAGAATCACCTGCATGAATCTGAGAACAGTCCGGGCAACAGGTCCCCCGTGTTGCTTTTTCTATTGCTGATGTTCGTGGCTGATATCCAGATGTTTTCCACCTCATTTCATGCTAAAACATCACTAACGACTTCAGCTGAAGCACAACGTTTAGAAGCTGAACCAGTTTGTGCACTCTGAGTTGAGCTAACAGTCAGCGTTCAGGTTGATGAGTAGTCTAAGACAGGTAAGTAACTCGGATGGGGGTACCACTGGCTCTGATAGGGAGGTCACCTGACCCGTGTTCTGTCTCCTTCAGGATTTGAGAAGTATTTTCCTGACGGCCAGAAAGCAGATAAAAGCTCTGAAGCTGAAGGTAAATGCCCTAACCAGTAGCCTGCAGCCTCACCTGTCCACCTCTCACCTGTGGCGGTGATCCAGAGCGTTCTCTGACTCCTTTTATCTTCAGAACCAAAACCCTCCACTAATCAGAAAGCAGCTGGGAGGTCAGGAGGAGCATCAGGAGGAGGAAAACGAGGAGGACGTAAAGAGGACTCCAACTGGCACAGTCGGCTGCTGAAGGTTGGTTACATGTCAGCATCACCTGTGCAGGTGTGGGCGGGGCTCAGCTGCTCTGTTTTTCAGGGTGACATTCCCTGGGATGACAAGGAGTTTCGGATGTACTTCCTGAGCAGCGTGGCATTCTGGACCGCCGTCACGTACTACTTCCTGCGGGATGGAGGACGTGAGGTCACCTGGAAGGACTTTGTCAACAACTACCTGTCCAAAGGAGTGGTGAGTAGCACACCTGCTACCTGAGCCAGGGTCACAGTGCTGGTAGGGTCCTCCATGGTGCTTCTCCTGCAGGTGGATCGGTTAGAGGTGATCAACAAGCGTTATGTCAAGGTGGTGTTCTCTGTGGGGAAGACGCCAGTGGATGGGGTGCGTTCCATTCGTCTCAGAGGCAGAGGTCAGGTAGCTGTGGAACTGTGAGTGACTCCTCCTCCTGTGTCTCTGTAGCAATATGTCTGGTTCAACATCGGCAGTGTGGACACCTTCGAGAGGAACCTGGAGAGCGCCCAGAATGAGCTGGGCATCGAGAGCGAGAACCGCCTACCGGTGGTCTACTCCACGGAGAGCGATGGGTGAGAGCAGCCGACCCGAACCGCTCTGGCGGCCATCACACCTCAGCTGTTCTGACACCTGTCCTTTTGTCCACAGCACATTCCTTCTGAGCATGCTCCCCACGGTCCTCATCATAGGCTTCCTGCTCTTCATGCTGCGGCGTGGTGCGGCGGGGGCGGGGCGGCCCGGCAGGGGAATGGGCGGGCTGTTTAGTGTTAGCGAGACCACGGCCAAGATCCTGAAGGACGAGATTGATGTCAAGTTCAAAGATGTGGCAGGCTGTGAAGAGGCCAAGCTGGAGATCATGGAGTTTGTCAACTTCCTGAAGAACCCCAAACAGTACCAGGACCTAGGGGCCAAGATCCCCAAGGTGAGAGGGTGGAGCCTAAATGGGGCGGGGCCTTTGTAATGAGGGGGGGTCAGGAAGAGATATAAGCAGGTGAGGGGTATCAGTTGTCCAGGTTCTCCTAGTAGGTTCTGGACTTGTTTAGTGTTCTGGGAGACGTTTGGATTGTTCTCTAGTCAGCTGACAAAGCTCCATTTGGATGACAGACCTGTAGTTCAAAGGTTTTAACCACCTGCATAAACTATTTACCTGCTTTAGTTTTTATTAAACACAAATTTAAAAAAATCGGAAACTAAATAAAAAGAACGTCTGTCTCTGAGGGCGCTGCAAGGGCCCCTAGGGGCTCCAGGCTAATATCTTCAGCTTCGTCATCCAACTACGACCAACCAGCTTTCATTCCAATGTGCACAAGACCTTTTTTACGTGAGTGCTGTGAAGGCTGATAAAGAGAAGAAAGGAACAAATAATTTTACTTAATACTTTATATATATATTAAGATATTAGGGCTGAGCAAAAAATTGAAAATTTATCGTTATCAACATTTCTGACTCTTATGGGGATCGTTATTCCCATGTCAATAATTCTGATGATAAAAAAATGAAAAACTGTGTGTAAGTTAGCAGCGTTCCTGTCTCTTTAAGAAGCTGCACCACCTTGAGTCATAACTAATACACGGGACAGCCCCCTCTAGTGGACAACCTTTGTTTCTGCGCACACCTGTAGTTATCGTCCGATTGTCGTTATTGAGGTGAAATCCTCAGTATATGGCGATATTGATTTTAGGCCGTATTGCCCAGCCCTACTCCCAAACCAAAAATATTTGTCTGAAAGGCGATCGATCGACACAAGAGGACACACAGGAACAACAAAAATGGCCAAAACCCACAAAGGAAGACGTGTCGCCATGCGCACAGCTGGCACCGCCATCTTCCACTGCTTCTGGACCCAGATGTGGGAGGAGCTCTTAGATCTGAGCTGCTAGACCAACGATGATCCTGATTGATCTGGTTTCATCTGTTCTTTTGTTTACCTGAGGTCACCTGACCCAGATGGAGCTCTAACCATGCAAATGTGCTGTTTGCCTCTGCAGGGAGCCATCCTGACTGGACCTCCAGGAACTGGGAAAACCCTTCTAGCCAAAGCCACTGCCGGCGAGGCCAACGTGCCCTTCATCACGGTGAATGGCTCGGAGTTCCTAGAGATGTTTGTGGGCGTCGGCCCAGCCAGGGTAAGCAACTGGTTGGTACTGGGGGGGGGGGGGGGGGGGGGGGGAGGGTCACAGAAAGAACTGCTGATGTCACTTCCTTTGCAGGTGAGAGATTTGTTCGCCATGGCAAGGAAGAACGCTCCTTGCATCCTCTTCATCGACGAGATCGACGCTGTCGGCCGGAAACGGGGTCGTGGAAACTTTGGAGGTCAGAGTGAGCAGGAGAACACTTTGAACCAGCTGCTGGTGGAGATGGACGGTAGGTAGCACCCGGGGCCTCGTTCACAAAACTCACTACTACTGCTTTACTCATACCTGCAAACTGTTTGCTTTTTGATGAAAATCGCTGTTTTAGAAGCCAAATGTGGCGTTCACGTGAATCGTGTGGATCCGAAGAGTTTTGTTTTGAAGGGGGGGGGGGGTCTTCTGTCGGGTTTCAGTCGCTCTTATGGAAACCCATCAGAGAACGGAGAGGCGACTCCTCTTGTTCACAAACCATCTTTGTTCTAGTGTGTTAGTCATGTGACATCATTGGACCAATCAGAGTCAGAGACGGCACACTGCAGCCGGTGAGGCAGAGCGGCGCTCCCAGTGAGTAGGAGTGCTGTCGCTTCAGCTTCTCTCAGCGGTTTGGAGCTTAAAGCTCCTCAAATAGAACAAAATCAGCTCTAAACAACAGTTTTCTGTCAGATTTACCTTCATAGGTTCTCCCGAGGCTGCTCGCGTTTGTTTTGGAGTTGAGTTGGGAGCAAACTCCGCCACTCATGTAGTAACAAATGCTGTCTGTGGTGAGAAATGGCCACCAGTACGCTACAGCCCTACTGGTGTAAAACAAAGCCCAGTGAACAGATGTGGGCACCAGAAGATGCTGGAGGAGAAACGCGTGATGACATCATGTCATAATATTTCTGCTGCATTAAAGTCGGATCAGCAGGTCAACGGCGAGAGAAAGCTGCATCTGCCGGCAGCTGCACTACGACCCTAACAACAACCTTTAGAGATGATTACAGGGCAGCAGTAGCTCAGCCGGTACAGCGGGTTGTCCACTAATCAGAGGGTTGCACGTTCGATCCCGGCTCTGACCAAAGAAGGCTGCTGTTGTGTCCTTGGGCAAGACATTTAACCCACCTCGTCTGCTGCTGGTGGTCGGAGGGACCGGAGGTTCCTGTGCTTGGCAGCCTAGCCTCTGGCAGCGTGCCCCAGGGCAGCTGCAGCTACATGGTAGCTCATCACCATCAGTGTGTGAATGATGCTCTGTAGGGTCAAGAGCTTTGGAGTCCTCTGACTCTGAAATGCACTACACACGTGGGGGTCATTCATCATAGGTGTGTGTGTGTGTGTGTGCGTGTGTGCGTGTGTGTGCGGATGGATGGATGGAACTTGAACTCCCCAGCCTCCAGCTCCACCTGTACAGAATCTTCGGGACAATAATTGTATTTGTTAAGTCACACATGAAAATAATCTTTGGCCTAGCTCATCTAGAACACACACGCGCGCACACACACACACTGCACTTGTGTATGACACTAACAGATGTGCTCCACCTGGTGCAGCACATCTGGAGAATGATGTGTTTCTGAGCTCAGGCACAAATGAGTGAATGCTGATGGGTTCATGTCCCAAATATCAGTGATATACGTTCTCCACACGACTCATTTAGGTACCTTCTGATGGTTCTACAACCCCCCAGTGCGCTTCACATCCCACCCTGGTGGTGATGAGCTACCATGTAGCCACAGCTGCCCTGGGGCACGCTTACAGAGGAGAGGCTGCCGAGCACTGGTGCCACCAAGCAGGTGCCCAAGGACAAAATGGCAGCATTCACTGGTGGAAGCTGCGATCAAACTTGCAACCTTCCGATTCCTGGACAACCCGCTCTACGTCCTGAGCTGCCTCTGTCCCAGATGAAACAAAACCATTGTAACTATTATTGTTCTTGAGCTTTACTGTAGAAGAGCATCGGGCCTCACGGTGTCGGCTGGAGGAACTCTGGCCCTGGGAGACCTCTGGGCTGGAGGTTGCATGTCCAGCATGCTGACAGGAGCTCCTCTTCTTCTGTCCTCCAGGCTTCAACACTGCTACCAATGTGGTGGTTCTGGCCGGAACCAACCGACCCGACATTCTGGACCCGGCTCTGCTGAGACCCGGTCGCTTTGACAGACAGATTTACATTGGTAGGTGACGTCCACCTGCTCCGGGAAGCTCTGGATATGTGGTCAGGTGCAGGATGATCATCTTGTGCTTTCAGGTCCTCCTGACATTAAAGGACGAGCATCCATCTTTAAAGTCCACTTGCGTCCTCTGAAGCTGCACGCCAACCTGGATAAAGACGCCCTGTCCAAGAAGATGGCTGCCCTTACACCTGGATTTTCAGGTACGCTGCTTCCTGATTGTGACCGATGAACAGGTGTCTGTGATGCATGTAGGTTTGTCCTCTCTGCTCAATGCCTGCCAGGGGCCGACATTGCTAATGTCTGCAACGAGGCTGCGCTGATCGCCGCTCGCCACCTGTCTGACGCCATCACCCAGAAGCACTTTGAGCAGGCCATTGAGAGAGTCATTGGAGGTTAGTCACCAGAACCAGTCCTGGAAGATTCTGGTTTTGGTCCTTATTCTGTGCACTGAAGAAGTTCTGATTAGCCTAGTTGTTGGTGATTAGTGATAGTGATGTTCTTTGTAGGTCTGGAGAAGAAGACTCAGGTTCTGCAGCCAGAGGAGAAGAAGACGGTGGCGTACCACGAGGCGGGTCACGCTGTTGCTGGGTGGTTCCTGGAGCACGCCGACCCATTGCTGAAGGTTCTGTGATATTTTCCGTCTCTGTTTCCTGCTGGGTCTTGTACTTGGTCATCACTGAGCTGTTTTCTCTCACCTGTACAGGTGTCCATCATCCCCAGAGGGAAGGGGCTGGGCTACGCCCAGTACCTGCCCAAGGAGCAATACTTGTACACCAAAGAGCAGCTGCTGGACCGCATGTGCATGACTCTGGGGGGCCGCGTCTCTGAGGAAATCTTTTTTGGGCGGATCACTACCGGAGCTCAGGACGACCTGCGGAAGGTCACTCAGAGCGCCTACGCTCAGGTGAGGTCCCACAACCGCTTCAGGTTCAGCGCCCGTTCTAACTACTGGTTGTGCAGCGCACCAGGCAAAGACCAACGATGACAGACCATTCTACTAGCCATCCTATATATGCAAATCTATAGTCTGGCCACGACCCATAGACAGAGCTCAGACTGGGGATGGGGTCTATGGTTGTATTTAAACCTGTCTCTGCATTCTATTGGACAAACCCGCCAACCCAGTAAGAGTACTGTGGTTGGCAAGACACAGACTGGCCGGGCCCGCTTGGGCTCTAATGGCTCTTACACACTAGCATCGGCTTCGCCCACCTCAGCCCGGCCGAAAATGCGGATGTGGCTGAGCATATGGGCGGTCTGCGTTCTGTGATGTCATGAGCTGTGATCTCCGAGCGCGTGGGCGGGACAAAAGAATGCAGACAAGAGCGCAGTGTCTCCATTATTAAACAAAAGCAACCTGAGCAGTCTTGCTTTTGGAGACTGACTCTGGTATTACATCCTGCTTCAGTGTGTGTGTGGGCTTCATTCAGAGGCTTGTTAACTCCACAGCATCCATAATGATGATGAATCACTCATACTGCACGCCCCGGCTCGCTGGTTCTATCTGCCAATCAGAGGCTCTGCCTAATGGTAGGAATGCTTTTGCGCCGGCCAATCAGTCAGCAGTGGACGTGTTGGACCAGTTTGGCTCGAGGAAGACCGCTTTGGGAAGAGCTGGACAATCCAAGGCTACCTAAATGAGAACACTCCCAACCCAGTCCAGGCGGAGTGGAGCTGATGCTAGTGTGTAAAGGCCATAATGGAGCATGGATAGACCAACCTGCTTCTGCTGCTGTCTGGCTAGATTCGTAGGCTAATCATCTGCTGCTGTGGCCCCCAGACTCTGGACCTCTCTTCCCCTGAGCCTGAGATCAGTGGACTCAGTGGTCTCCTTTAAAAAGCAGCTGAAGACTCACTTGTTCCCTGGAACATGTGCCGATTGGATTGAGGAGGTCATTGAAGTACTCCACCCAGCAACTCGCATACAAGTCAAAGTAGCACACCACCACCCCACCAGGACCACCGTTGGTAGTCCACCGCTTCCCCATTCTGAAATGTCAGATGGTGGATCAGAATCTCCTCAATGCCATATGGAATTCCTGATCCATGGTCCAATCAAACTCCTCCCATGCCTGGATTTTTGCCTCACCCACCACCAGAGCCGCATTCCGCTTGGGCCGTCAGGCACCATCTGGAGTCCCACAGGCCAGAAGAACCTGATGGGACTCTTTCTTCGGCTTGACAGCATTTCTCATCTTCGATGTCCACCAGCAGGTTTGGGAGTTGATTCCACGTCAGGCACCAATGACCCTGTCCACAGCTCAGGTCAGCCTTCATGACAATGGAGGAACAAAACATGGTCCACCGAAACTCTATTCAGTTTATTCATTTAGCGCCTTCTACCACCTCAGGCGAGGCCCAAGGTGCTGAACAAGACATAAAACCAGAGTAGTAATAAAACAACATATTGAATAAAAATCAGTAAAAGAAAAAGACATAAAAGTAACTAGATAAATTGCATTTCTTGCAGATAGCTGAAACTGCAAGCTGAAGCTGCTGAACAGCTGAACTGAAGCTGAAACTAAGCAAAACTGTCAAAATGAGCTGAATGTATTGAAAGATGTAGAAATAAAAAGCACCAACAACCAAGTAAAGCACAAAAAGTAAGTGAATAATAGAGAAAAATAATCCTAAACAGCAGAAAACTGAAATCTGTGAACACTGTATAAAAATCTGTCGTCGTCGTCGTTGTCTTCCTCCGCTTATCTGGGTCCGGGTCGCGGGGGCAGCATCCCAACTAGGGAGCTCCAGACCATCTTCTCCCCAGCCACCTCCACCAGCTCCTCCGGCAGGACCCCAAGGCGTTCCCGGACCAGATTGGAGATGTAAACTCTCCAACGTGTCCTGGGTCGACCCGGGGGCCTCCTGCCGGCAGGACATGCCCGAAAAACCTCCCGAGAGAGGTGTCCAGGAGGCATCCTGACCAGATGCCCAAACCACCTCAACTGACTCCTTTCGATCCGGAGGAGCAGCAGTTCTACTCCGAGTCCCTCCCAAATGTCCGATCTCCTCACCCTATCTCTAAGGCTGAGCCCGGCCACCCTACGGAGGACACTCATTTCGGCCGCTTGTATCCACGATCTTGTTCTTTCGGTCATTACCCAAAGCTCATGACCATAGGTGAGGATTGGGACGTAGATCGACCGGTAAATCGAGAGCCTGGCTTTCTGGCTCAGCTCCCTCTTCACCACGACAGATCGGCTAAGCGCCCGCATCACTGCAGACGCTGAACCAATCCGCCTGTCGATCTCCCGATCCCTCCTACCCTCACTCGTGAACAAGACCCCGAGATACTTAAACTCCTCCACTTGAGGTAGGACCTCTCCCCCAACCCGGAGTTGGCAAGCCACCCCTTTCTGGTCGAGAACCATGGTCTCAGATTTGGAGGGGCTGATCCTCATCCCAGCCGCTTCACACTCGGCCGCGAACCTACTCGGCTAGAGCTGAAGGTCAGAGCTGGATGAAGCTAGGAGGACCACATCATCCGCAAAAACCAGAGACGAGATTCTCCTGCCACCACACTCCACACCACGGCTGCGCTTAGAAATTCTGTCCCTAAAGATAATGAACAGAACCGGTGACAAAGGGCAGCCTTGGCGGAGTTCAACCCTCACCGGGAACAGGTCCGACTTACTACCGGCTATGCGGACCAAACTCATGCTCCTCTGGTAAAGGGAGTGAATGGCCTTTAACAGAAAGCCACCCACCTCATACTCCTGGAGCGTCCGCCACAGGGTGCCCCTGGGGACACGGTCATAAGCCTTCTCCAAATCCACAAAACACATGTGGATTGGTTGGGCAAACTCCCATGCCCCCTCCATCACCCTTGCAAGGGTATAAAGCTGGTCCACAGTTCCACGGCCAGGACGAAAACTACATTGCTCCTCTTCAATCTGAGATTCAACTATCGATCGGACCCTCCTCTCCAGTACCTTGGAGTAGACCTTTCCAGGGAGGCTGAGGAGTGTGATCCCCCTACAGTTGGAACACACCCTCAGGTCACCCTTCTTAAAGATGGGGACCACCACCCCGGTCTGCCACTCCACAGGAAATGCCCTCGATGACCACGCAATGTTGCAGAGACGTGTCAACCACGACAGCCCCACAACATCCATAGCCTTGAGATACCCAGGACGAATCTCATCCGTCCCCGGGGCTCTGCCACTGTGTAGTTGTTTGACTACACAGCAACTTCTACCCCCGGGATTTGGACAGTCCATCCCCAGGCCTCCCGGCTCTGGTTCCTCCTCAGAATCCATGGGATTGAGGAGCTCCTCAAAGTATTCCTTCCACCGTCCGACTATAGCCCCAGTTGATGTCAGCAGCTCCCCATCCCCACTGTAAACAGTGTGAGCGAGTTGCTGCCTTCCTCTCCTGAGGCGCCGGACAGTTTGCCTCGATAGTCTTTCTCCATAGCCTCACCAAACTCCTTCCACGCCCGAGATTTTGCCTCGGCAACTGCCACTGCTGCACCCTGCTTGGCTGTCCGGTACCTGTCTGCTGCCTCCGGAGACCCACAGACCAGCCACGCCCTGTAGGCCTCCTTCTTCAGCCTGACGGCTCCCGAACCTCTGGTATCCACCAGCGGGTACAGGGGTTGCCACCACAACTGGCACCGGCCACCTTGCGACCACAGCTAGCAACAGCCGCCTCAACAATCGCAGAGTGGAACAAGGCCCACTCAGAGTCAATGTCCCCCACAGCTCTCGGGACGCGGTCAAAGCTCTGCCGGAGGTGGGAGTTGAAGACCGTCTTGACAGGTTCTTCCACCAGGCGTTCCCAGCAGACCCTCACTATGCGTTTGGGTCTGCCATGTCTACACGGCATCTTCCCCTGCCATCTGCTCCAACTCACCACCAGGTGGTGATCAGTTGACAGTTCCGCTCCTCTCTTCACTCGGGTGTCCAAAACATACGGCCGCGGGTCAGATGATACGACTACAAAGTCTATCATCGACCTGCGACCTAGGCTGCCCTGGTACCAATTGTACCGATGGGCATCCTTATGTTCGAACATGGTGTTCGTTTTGGCCAAACTGCGGATTGCACAGAAGTCCAATAACGAAACACCACTCGAGTTCAGATCCGGCGGGCCGCTCCTCCCAATCACACCCCTCCAGGTCAAGCTGTCATTGCCCATGTGAGCATTGAAGTCCCCCAGCAGGACAATGGAGTCCCCTGATGGAGCACTATCTAGCACTCGTCCCAGGGACTCCAAAAAGGGTGGGTACTCTGAACTGATATTTCGCCCATAAGCACAAACAACAGTCAGGACCCGTTCCCCAACCCGAAGGCGCAGGGAAGCTACCCTCTCGTCCCCCGGGGTAAACCCCAACACACAGGCAGAGAGTCTTGGGGCTAACAAAAAGCCAACCCCAGCCTTCCGCCTCTCACCCGGAACAACTCCAGCAAAGGAGAGTGTCCAACCCCTCTCAAGGACTTGGGTTCCAGAGCCAATGCTATGTGTCGAGGTGAGTCCGACTATATCTAGCTGGTACCGCTCAACCTCTGCCACAAGCTCCTGCTCCTTCCCCGCCAGCGAGGTGACGTTCCATGTCCCAAAAACCAGTTTCCTTGTCCGGACCGCCAAGGCTACCGCCTTGGTCTGCCACCCGATCCACACTGCACCGGACCCTTCAAGTTCCTCCTGTGGGTGGTGGGTCCACAGTTGGATGAGCCCATGTATCCGGTTCAGGCTAGGCCCGGCCGGGACACATGGGCGAAAGCCGGGCCACCAGGTGCTCGCTCACTGGCCCCAACCCCAGGCCTGGCTCCATGGTGGGACCCCGGTAACCCTCCGCGCCGGGTACTCCGACTCTTTGAATTTACATCCATGAAAGATCCTCTGAACCGTTCTTTGTCTCACCCTTCACCTAAGACCAATTTGTCATGGGAGACCCTACCA